CAGCCCGGCGTGGCTTCGGGCCCCGTGCCCTTCTTCCAGTTCCGGCCGCGGCTGGAGAACGTGGACTGGCGGCGGCTGAGCGCCATCGACGTGGATAAGGTGGCGGGGGCCGTGGACGTGCTGACGCTGCAGGAGAACATCATGAACATCACCTTCTGCAAGCTGGAGGACGAGAAGTGCCCCAAATGCCAGTCGGGGTTGGACCCGGTGCTGCTGAAGCTCATCCGCCTGGCGCAGCTGACCATCGAGTACCTGCTGCACTCGCAGGAGTTCCTCAGCTCGCAGCTGCACAGCCTGGAGGAGCGGCTGCGCCTGAGCCTCGGCGACTGCGAGCAGAGCAAGAAGCTGCTCAGCAAGCAGGCGGGGGAGATGAAGCTGCTCAAGGAGGAGTGTAAGCGCAGGAAGAGGATGATCTCCACCCAGCAGCTCGTGATGGAGGCCAAGGCCAGCTATTACCAGGTGGGAGCTGCGTTGTCGGCACCATTCATAACCTGATAAACGACTCGGTTTCCATTTGGGAGACCTTTCCTGTCTCACCGCTCTTTTCAAGGTTTGTCCTGTACATCAGAATAGCATATTTAAGCAAAAACAGGGGCCGGCCCGTGGCGCACTCGGGAGAGTGCGGCACTGGGAGCGCAGTGACGCTCCCGCCGCGGGTTCGGATCCTATATAGGACTGGCCGGTGTGCTCACTGGCTGAGTGCGGTGCGGGCGACACCACACCAAGGGTTGTGATTTCCTTACCGGTCACGAAAAAAGACAAAAAAAAAAAGCAAAAACAGTCATTTTAACCCACAGATGATCTGGCTCCTTACCTTCTGCAGACGACCGGGGAATTAATAATCAAACAACTAACGTCATCTGCACTGCTTTATTGAAGTCATCTAATTGCTGGCTGTTGAACCTGTTTCCTCCTCCTAATCGATGTCATGAAAAAAAACCATGTTAAAATTGCCCTCCAACGATGTGGAATTCTTAAACTTGTGGGGGTTTTTTCCTTCATTTTTAAAAACTTTGAAATATTTTCAAAATGACAGAAAAGTCGCCAGAGTAGTACAAAGAACTTTCATATACCCTTCACTCAGATTCACCAATTATTAACCTTTGTCACATTTACTTTATTTCCTCTGTCTCTATATACGTGTTATTACTTTTGAACCATTTCTTAGTGAGTTGCCGACCCCTAAATATTTCAATATGTATATTTCCTAAGAACACGAACATTCATTTACGTAACAACAGTATTTAAAGAATTAAACATTTTTGTTTTTCTGATCTTAATCTCCAGCTGTTATGGGTTAGACACTGAGCCCAAGATAAATATTGCAATTCTTGAGTATAACAAATCAATGTATATGTTTTTTATTGATTAGTTGGAGAAAGCACAAAAGGTATAAATGATGTTTGATAAAGATATCGAAGTATGTCACATAGTGACAAGATTGATTTCACACACGTACTTTCTAGTTTTGGCTAAATATGTATGGCTTAAAAAGCCTTAGTGGACTTAGAAATAGTAGAGCTGAAGCATGCATGAATCTGGAGAATTGGGTGTAGGGCAGAGAAAATAATTCGTTTAATATTGCTTAGGACTGACCCAACAGTGTTGAGAGAAGTGTACTGAAGCTAGTGGAACAGTTCTGAACAAAGAATACTGTTAGAAAACCATTGTGTTTGGCCCTGTTCAGACAACCTTGAGGTGTAACCTTCAAATGATGCTTGAAGTCACTAATTGCCTATTTGTTTCATAAATGCTGTTTAAAAATTAAATATTTATAAAATAGTGTGAAGATGGCTTTATCTTGTACAATGAATAGAATGTATTCCATTTAAAAAATTTTTTAAAGTTCATTATATTATAGCTTTTGACCATCTGGTGAAATATTAAAACCTGTAACATACAAAACATTTATGTTTAAACATTTTTTTCATTCATTTAATTACCATAGAAATAGCTGTTAATAAAGATTTTTAAATACAAATGATATCTAAGAATAAAAAGGTAATGACTCAATTTTATCAAACAAGTGACACCTGCCAATTCTTGGCAACTTGGCAGACTCTCTGAATGACAGTATTGACTGTGTGGTGTACTCAGGTGTGACCAGGAGGAGGTAGGCATGACCAGATCACCTTTTCCTCATTAGCGTAGTATAGTACAGGTATAATCCGTCCTCTATTAAGCGGCTTGCCATTGTCTCTTTGTGGAGTCTTTGAGCAGTGTGTGTGCCTTAAGGTGACAATTCCAGGGTTAGACTACTTGGATTTGAATCCCAGGTGTTCCACTGAGCATGTCATTTAACTTCTAAACCTCAGTTTCCTCATCTTAAAATGGAGACATTAATAGTAGCTACCTTTCAGGGCTCTTGAGAATTCCATCGTAAAGCATGAAGAAGGGTCATTGAACGGCATCTGATATGGGGATGTTGCTTTCCACAGTGGCTTCCCAGTAGTCAGCTGTGACTACATGTGATCTTGTTGTGAATTCTCCGACTTTTTTAAGAATTCATGGAATAGTGGGGGATATAGAAAAGAAGACCAGAGGCCACAGTGCAGATGCTGTAGGAATCGGTAATTCAGGGAGGGGTGGGTGTTCAAAGATTGACATTAAGAGTAGTTGGCATGTAAACTGGCTGGGTTCCACAGTGTTATGATCATTGTAACTCCAGTTTCCTAAGATGGTGATGTTTGGCCTATAATAAGATTTATGGGAAGACAATTGATTTTGTTTAATAGTTATTTGGCTTTAGGATGCATACATGAATTTGTATTTAATAGAGACCTCAACAGCTGGGCAAGTCTGATGGCCATGTGTAAAGGCCAGAGAGTACCAGTGATCTATCTATTTTTAAACATTTAAAAACTTCAAAATGGGAGCACTGTGCTTGCCAGTGGTTTGTAACAGGACTTAGACTCATTATAAGAACTTTTGTTTACATAGCTGGAAGTTTCAGATTCCTCTCCAAGCCCCTGCAACACAGGCAGACATTAGAATCTGTCAGTGATTTTCTGTCCCTGCTTCGAGTTATTTAGCCCCTTGGTGTTGGAAATGAGTGTTGGGGAGGAGAAAAAGCATGCATTTTGCCGTCATAGGGACATAGGTTAAAATATGCAACTGATAATACTATGACAATGTTTCTGAGCTTTTGATTTTTTTGTGGGCAAATTGGTTGCTATGGAAATTAAATAAGATAATCATGTAACAGCATCTAGCTCCCAGTAGGCCCAGTGGAAATGTTGGTTTCTTTAACATCTATTCTCAGCCACTGTCTTGGAGAGTTCTCAAAAAATATCTGGAGGAATAGAGAGCTTCCATCCTACTTAATTTTGGTAAAGGAATTCTAACTAATAAGTTGTGTTAATTTCTTCACACTAAATGGTTCTCATTTTTTAATGATTTTGGATGGAAGTTGTTTTAAGACATTTCCATGTTTTACATACTAATACACATTCTTAAACCAAGTGTACTGAACGTAATTCAACATATTCTATCCTTGGTTGTCATGGAAAGAAGTATAAAATTCCTTTCTTTTTTTTTTTTTTTTTTTTTGTCTTTTGTCTTTTTCCGTGTCCGGCAATGGATCGCAACCCTCAGTGTTGCCCCCGTACCGGACCGGGGACCGGCAACGGGATCGCAACCCTCGGTGTTGCTCCCGCGCCTCGCTCAGCCAGTGAGCAGGAACCGGTCTGTATGTGGGATCCGAACCCTCGGGCGGGAGCGCCGCCGCGCTTCCCAAGCGGCGCACTTATCCAGTGCGCCACCGGGCCGGCCCTAAAATTCCTTTCTATGAATAGATAATAGCACCTCACTTTTCTTAATTTATTATGTCGCTTTTTTTCTTTTGTAATATGCTTTAAGGGATGCTCCTTCCAAACTGAAGTTTATATATCTTTTATCTTTACTTCAAATCCATATATACACATATATACACACACATTTATCATATAAACACATATATACATACCTATATTCAAGAAAATTCAAAGGGTTTTAGAGGATAAAAATTTTAAAGCATTTTTAAAAAGTCTTATAGTTATTTTATTAATGGGAAAATTTGATACTAAGTTATGTAGCATTCCTTCCTGCCTTCTTAGCCCGAAAGGGAATTATTTCTAAGGCAGAGTCTTTATGCAATAAATAGGATTCCTCCACTTCCTACTATTTCATTGTAAAGAATGATCTGACTTATATTAAGTTTCTAATTTTAATCCTAGTGCTGGTAAATTAGGTAGCCTTGGCTTTGGGGTCTGATGGACCTGGTTTTTAGATCCTGGCTTGCTCCTCAATCACTCTTAGCAGAGTGTTGTGAGGCCCTGATGAGAAAATCGGTATAAAGAGCCTGGCATACGGGGGGCACCCCTGATTGGGACCTATTTATACTGCTGTAATCTATAATGTGTGAGTCATCCATGCCTCTAAGCAGTAACATTATAATGAAGTATAGCCATGCTGGGGAAGAAGCCTCAGAAATCTGGGGATAACAAATATGTATTATATTTAGGAGTAAATAAGTATATTTTTCTTACTACTTTTGAGCATAGAAGTTACCACTTTTTAAAGCAGGGGTTGCAGAGTGGCACCCCACAGGCTGAATTTGGGCCTGCAGACCTTTTTTGTTAGGCCTGTGTAGTATTTAGCTTCTTATTGGAAGACGTCTTTTGGTGGCCATGTACCCCAGTTCACCACATCTCCTCCCCTCCCCATGGTGGAACACTTGCCTGTCAGGCTCCAACCTTAGAGATTCTGATTTAAGAGGTGCAGAGTGTGTAATCTCCATTGTTAAAAGGCATACTGCACCTTTCCAATGCTAGTGGTCAGGGGAGTCACACTCTGAGAAACGTTTTTTTTTTTTTTTTTTTTTTTTTTTTTTTTTTTTTTTTTTTTCCTTCAGGAAAAAGTGTGATAAATAGGCCTAACCCTAAACCCCAGGAGGAAACTGGGTTCGGGATAAATTTGTTGAGGGTCTGTGTGCACTTTTAGAGTGCAGAATTTTCCCTAACTTAGAAAGAGGCTATCAGGCATTAGAAAGATGATAAAAGCCAGAGGGAGTGTGAATCATTTATTTATTGAGGCACATAGTCCACTCCCCGGCCTGTCCCTTCCTGGCCTGGCTGGTAGACAGCGCTAATGTGAACCCGGAAGTGTGAGAATGCTCTTCCGGGTCAGGCCGCAGACTCGGCTCACGTGTTCCTGCCTAGTCAGGGAAAGGTAATGGGAAAGGACGTTGGACCACATGGGTTAAAATCCCATCTCTACTAGTTTCTAAACCACAAGGCCTTGACAAGTTGCTTAACCTCTCTGTGTCTCAGTTTCTAATCTGTGCAATGGCAAAAATAATTGTACCTACCTCACAGCAGTCGTTAATGGAATGGGGGTTAAATGAGTGCACTGTAAAGTGCTTAGAACAGTGCTTGGCATGTAGTTGTTATTATTTTAGCTAAAACCTGGGAGTGAAGGGAAAAATGTTCTGTGGCATAACAGATTCCAAAACTTATTACAAAATGTCAGCAATCGTATGACTGCCATGATCTGAGTTTTTCTTTCCCCCCCAGATAGAAAATCCAAGCTCTGGACTCTTTGCCCTTGCAAAATGATTGGGCCCAGTGATGATCAGTTTTACCTGTGAAATTATGATCTCATTCATTTTCATATCACTTCTCTTTGTCTGCATTTCCCTTTGCTTCAAGAAATCACAAGAATTAGGTAGTTGAGACTGGAGAAAATTAAAGATGTCTGCTTTTTGAAGGCTTTTTTCCTCATTAGTGTGTGTGGTGGGGGAGTTGTGCGGCATGTATAAGGGGGTTAGCAATGGCAATGTGAAGGGTCTTTTTTCCTCAACATTTTATTATTAAGCATTTTAAAAATTCAGAAAAATTAAAACAACTGTATTGTGAATATCTGTATATGGAGGGTTTTTTAAAGAAAAATCTCATTCGTTTTCAGATAAAAACTAATAATAGAATACTAAAACCATATAAAAAAGTGCGCAAACTGATGTAACAAACATCATATACTTACCTCCTAGGTTTAACTTATGTTAGTATTTTGCTATATTCCTATCTTCTCTTTTTGGGAAAGTTTAAGATTTTAAAAATTATAGAAATAAATAATTTTCCTCCCTCCATTCCCAGAGGAAATCTCTGTTTGCCTGTACCCTTCCTCTTTACGTTTTTTATGTATATTTTAAAATATTTTTATGAGCATATATATTCATAAGACAATGTTTTTAAGTTTGAAAACTTTCTAAAAATGATATACTTATAAATCTGTATTAGTCTGGTAGGGCTGCCATAACAAAATACCACAGATTACGTGGTTTATGCAACAGAAATTTATTTTCTCACAGTTCTGGAGGCAAGATCAAGATTAAGGTGTCAGCAGAGTTGGTTTTTGGTGAGGCCTCCCTTCCAGTCTTGTAGATTACCACCTTCTCTGATGTCTCTTCTTCTTACAAGATGAAAAACTCTATCAGATTAGGGCTCCACCCTTATGGCCTCATTTAACCTTAATTACCTCCATAAAGGCCCCATCTCCAAATACAGTCACATTGGAGGTTGGTGCTATTCTCCACTTTTGAGTTACACTTTCCAGGTTTGTAACATTTACATTCTCTCCCCCAACCATAATGTCTTACTGGTTTTTTTATTGGTTCTATATTTATGTGCTCACCCAAAGTCCTTTTACCTCAACACCTCCATTCTTGAGTTCTTTATTTTGATCCATCTCTTCATTGGGTCAGATTGTCAAAATGATTTTTCTTACCCAAAGGACCAATGAGTGCTGAATTCCCCCAACTCTTTCAGGTTTGGAAGACATACTGGCTGGGTAGAAGGTTCTTAGATCACACTTTCCCTCTGAACTTAGTAGATATGTTTCCCTTGTCTTCTGGCAGTAAATGTTGCTGTGAGAAGTTTGAGGCTGGCCTAAGTTTTTTCTACTTGTGAGTGATTTGTTTTTTCTGCCCGGATAGCTGAAGAGTTTTTTCTTTCTGCTTGAAGCTAAGTAGCTTAAGTAGGGTATGTCATGGGGTTGAGCATTGTGTAGCAATTTTTCCTAGAACCCAGAAAGCACTTTCTATCAGCAGACTCAGCTTTTACTTCATTTCAGGGAAATTCTCTTGTATTTAGTCTTTGAATTTGGGTTCTCTACTTGTGAGAAACCAGTGATCTGTCTGTTGTGTGGCTTTTGTCAGTCAGCCCTTCATATCTGTTAGTTTCTTTCTAATTGCTTTAATCTCTGTCTCAATCTGCATGCACTTCGATCAATGATCTCAGCCTTTCTTTTAGTGAGCAATTTGTTTTTTAACAGTGCCTCTTTTGATCTTTGCTTTTTCCAATTTATTTGTTCTGTGATGATGTTTTGTTTCTTACTTTGTTTTTCGTATTTTTTATCTTTCTTTTTTCAATTCATTCTGTTTTTTAAAAAATCATTTTGTTTTTATAGAATGCATGCTCCTCTTATGTTCTGTGGCATGAATGAAGAGATTGCGAAGAACACCTTTTTGTTTCTTTCTTGATTTATAGTCCTCCCCCCATAATCTTTAGCTTTGCCTGCTGTGTGTTTTCTCTCCCTTTCTCTCTTCCTTTCTTTCCTTTCTTTCCTCCCTTTCTTCCCCCTTTTCCTCCTCCTTTTGATAGGGTAGTGTATATGCATCCTCTCCATCACTGCCTTGCCTTTTCTCTCATCATACCCATGTTTAGCCCTGCTGAAACATTCTGTTCACCTTGATACAGTAGCACTATTACTGTCTGAAGGCTGGATATCCATGTCCCATTTTCTGTAGCCTGAAGGAATTGGAGGTTGGAAAGGTATTGTTAGAATACCTTCTGGCAATGTGCTGCGTTGGGCTTGGGGTGGGGCTGGGAAGTGAGGGTGGCATGGCTTTCTCCTTTCCTTTCTCCAATGCTGTGCACAGCCCTAGAGCCTGCATTTACATCAGCATCAGTGCAGGAAGTCCCTAAAGTCCTGTGGATGAACCATAGCAGTTATCAGAGAAGGCTGAAAAGATGCTTTAAAGAACCTCTGAAATGCAGTGCTAAGAAATATGCCATAATGTTAGTTTTCTGGGAAACCCAAACCTGAAGTCTGGATGCAGTTAGACTCATTAAGAGTGAGGCAATACAGTGAACAGAAGAACATGTTAAATGACACAAGAGGGATGAAGTCAGTGAACTCCAGACTGAGACAACCTCTGTAGGACAAGCATTTGGTCCCTTCAGCAAAAAAATAGCAAGGAAAAAAAAAAAAAAAGAGAGATGAAGGGGGAACCTATAGACTAAAAAGAGAGTTAAGAGATAAAATGACCAGTTTTAGGATATGGGCCTTATTTGGATCCTGATCCAAACAAATTATAACAACATTTTTTTTGAGACAATGCGGGAAAACTAGAGATATCAGTGGAAATGATTTTTTTCCCTCAGAAAATTCATTTTAATAGGCTAAATATTTCCAAGCATTTGTTCAATCATGTACTAATGCTGCCCTCTGGTGATAAAGCTGTGAAAAAGATAGACAGAGTCCATGCTATCAAGAAGCTGCATTCTAGCACTTAGGATTGGGCAGGAGACAATCCTTCTAAGTGAACAAGTAAAACAAATAAATGTGGAAAATTAACCAGTGAGATGTACAGTGATGAAAATAAGATGGTGATGATGTGGCAGTGACTGGCGGGAAGATCTCCAGGGAAGACCTTGTTGAGGTAAAGCCGTCATCCCCAGTGTGGAAGGTGTTCAGTGAGTGACATCTCGAATGTCAGGGAGCAGCCAGCCATGGGGAGGTCTGAGGAAGATCAGGTGGGGGGAACAGAGAACACAAAGCCTCTGAGGTTGGCATGCAGGAGGGACAGAAAGAAGGCTAGTGTGGCTGGAGTGTCATGAACAAGTTGGTGATGACAGAGTGGGAGCCACCAGTCTAACGGGAGCAGCATCAGGGGTTCCAGAAAGCACCAGAAGGGCTACTTTAACTGTCAAGAAGTAATTTTCATTCCCATGTGTTCAGTTTGGGAAGAACACCTCGTGTTATATTGCTTTTCAGTCATATTTTTAGTATCACTTGCCCGGATTGTATCTTTCAGGGAGAAAGCCCCCAAGAAGTAGTGCTTCAGGTACCCAGATTTTAATTGCATTTGGGTGGGAGGACACTCGTTACAGACACTTGGATTTGTTGCTGTCTGCTTTTCAGTGCCATTTTTGCGACAAGGCCTTCATGAACCAAGCTTTCCTACAAAGTCACATTCAACGCCGCCACGCTGAAGATTCTCACCTTGGTAAGTCATGACCTCTATTTTCAGAGCTATTTTCTTTCTGCTCCCTTTTTCTTTTTGCAGTGAGACAAGGTCCAGTGCATTTCTCACTGAAATTTAAAAGAAAGCGTCATAGTCCTTGTTCATTTGATAAGTAAATATCGAGCCCTACAATGTGCATGCCCTGAACCAGGTGCTGGGGACACAGCTGCAGCAAACAGAGGACTCCTGGTCTTTTGAGTCTGACGTCCTAATGGAGGGGCTGACGAGGCACACCAATCAATAAAAAACTCTTTTCGTGTGGCGGCAAATGCGATGAAGACCATAGAGCAGGAGAATGGGGTGGAGAGGGACCCTGGGTGTTCATTGAAGGCCTTGCTGAGGAGGCCATATCTAATCAGAGACCAGGAGGAGGAGGAGGTTCCAGCCTGGTGAAAATCTGGGAAAAGAGCATCCCAGAAAAAGGGAACACGAATTGCAAAGGGTGTGAGGGGAGGCAGGACGGCATGTTTGAGGAATAGAGAGGAAGCTGGTGGAGTAGAGAAGGTGAGTGGTGGTGTGGGTGGGGCTGCATAGGTAGGGGCCGGGTCACAGCAGGCCTTGAAGGTCCTGGGCTGGAATGAGGATGTTTCTATAAGTGTAATGGGAAGCTACCGGAAGGTTTTAAGTAGGGGAGGGACATGGTTTAATTTGTATGTTAAAGTGACCCCCTGTAGCTGTGGATGGAGAATAGACTCTCGGGGCAACAGTGGAAGCAGGTGGAGGAGAGATGATGCTGCGAGAGCAGCCCAGGTGAGAGAAGAGGTGGCTGGGCCACGATGGGCCCAGGGCAGATGAGGAGGTAAAGATGTAAAGGACATGTTGTGAGCACATGTCCCTTACATGGAGTCACAGAGCCTCCAGAGGGGTGACTCAGTGTTGAGAGCAAGGAGGAAGCAAAGGTGATCCTGGGTTCTTGTGCTGCATGTTTGGTGAGTGGCGGTGATGCTTACTGTGATGGAGGGCTGGGGGTGCACAGTAGTTTGAAGGAGAAAGGAGAGTTTGGGATGGCCCTGAGTACATTCACATTACACATACAATAGACATGCAAGTGGGGATGCTGGAGGTCCCCAGCTTCAGGTAGAGTTCAGGCTGGACATAGAAATCTGGGAGTCACTGGAGTAGAGCTGGGCTGGCTGAGGTCACTGAGCGGGGAGGAGAAGATGGCAAGGCCTGTCCCCAGGCTCTCCCTACTGTAGGAGGTCAGGAAGAGCAGCGTGGAGAGCGAGAACTAGCAGGAGGGAGACCTGGGGAGTGTGTTGTCCTGGAAACCAATGGAAAAAGTATTGCAAGGAGAAGGAGGTAGTGGTCAGGTGTGGTCAGTTGTATCATATGTTCCTGAGACGCAGAGTAAGATGAAGACTGAGGATCGGCTGTTGTTGTCAAGACAGTTGTTGGTGACCTTGACAAAGCTTCAGTGGTTTGGTGGGGATAAAAGACCGAATTGAGTGAGCTGAGCTGAGAATGGCAAGGGTGTGGTCTTACCAAATACAGATATTGATTGCAGTAATGTTTGCAGGGAAGGAAAGCAGAGATATGAGGCATCATCTGGACAGAAATGTGGGACCATTGGGACCAAGGGGAAATTTTTGTTTCATTTGATGTAGGAGATACTAAGATGTGCTTGGGTGCGGATGGAAACTAACCAGAATATGGAGGGGGTAATGGAGACACAAAAGCAGGGAGGAGACTGGCTGGTTAGCTTAGGTGGTTCGAGCACAGTGTTGTAACACCAAGGTCAAGGGTTTGGATCCCCATACTGGCCAGCTGCTAAGATAAATGAAAAATTGGGGAGGGATTCTTTGGCTTACCAAGGAACCAGGTTTCCTACTATTTAAATGTTCTCAAGAACAAAAAATGTATGGTCTCTTTCTTCACCAGCAGATCAAAGCTTTCTGCACATTGCTGCAGTATCCCACAGAAATTCTTATTTTGATCTTAAATGTTTTCAGTATCTAGACATGTACACTTAGCTTGTTAACTCAGTAGCCGTGTTCTCCTCCATTTGGGGCCAGTCTGTTTCCATTCCTGCCCATTTCAGGTAAATAGATTTATTTAGGAAATAGCCAAACTTTCTATAGAAGCAAAATAAACATTAAATTCTATTTATAAGCCATGGACCAGTGATACAATTTAGCAATATATTGGAAAAATTGGGAAGATGAGATATTTTAATTAATCTATCTTTCTTCACTGTAAAACTGACCTTCTTTCTCTTCTGTTTCAGTATCTTATTCTATCTCATACTCGTTTCAGAGAGTATTTCAGACTCTGAAATGAGTATTATTTCTTCAGGTCATCTTTGAGATTCTGACTTTCTACTTTGGTTTCCATACCTTTCATGTCTGCACTCACAGACACATGTAAATCCATTCAGTCATGTGTACATCTGCATGTAAGTACATGTACATAAGTATGCTTCCCTTCACTTGTTGCTTCCTTTTTACAACTTTTCAGTACCTTGTTTTTGCCCCAGTTGACAGGGTGTGGCCCAAGTTTGCATTTTGAATGCCAGTCCTCTCCTTGGATGAGCACAGATGGGGGGTCCTCAGGAGAGTTTGGTGGAAGCCAGAAGGATGACCATAGAGATTTCAGTATGGTGGTGCCTGCAGTGGAAGCCGTTGCTTCTCTTCTCTGATTGAGAGAGGCATCTCTAAGAAGAACCCAGAGTGCCATCGGGTCAAAGCAGCCGGGATTTTTCCTTGTCACCATGACTGCTCCCTGAACAGGGCTCTCACACTATGTCTGTGGGATAATCCAGCCTCAACACAGTGGCTGAAAGAATCTGCTGAAAATTCAGTGCCCAATAATATGAAGGGCTCCCAGTAAACATTAAAGAGCAGCAATTGGCTCGTGTGGCATGAAACAAGTAATAATATCCCAAGTAAGAGCAGGACTGTACCAGTAAGTTTTCCGGTAAGTTTCATAAGAGACGATGTTTTAACAAGATCTTCTGTTGCAACAGAGTACAAGAACAAGGCGCAGACTGATAAGCTCCAGAATGAGATTGACATGCTGAAGGAACAGCTGCAGCTTACCAGGTCTCAGTTAGAGGCTGCACAGCACGCCCATGCAGTCAGATTGTCGAAGGTACGCTACAGCATTCTGAAACAGTGGTATTTTCAATACAGTTAACTGTGTGTAATTCAAAGGTGCCATGGATGCCAATAAACAGAGGACGCTTAGGAGTTTGCAGAACTCGTTAAGTGTGATTGTAGTTTGTATTGCCAATCTACTCCTTACTATCTTACTACAGAGCACATCACTAGAAATACAGTTCCCTAGCTTTTTTTTAATTGAGATAAAGTTCACATAACATTCAATTAACTTTTTTCTTTCTTTCTTTTTTTTTTTTTCTTAAAACAACCCGTATTTATTATCTTACATTTCTGTGAGTCACAAGTCTGACACAATTCTCACTGAGCTAAAATCAAGGTGGCAGCAGGCCCGCGTTTCCCAGTGCAGGCCATAGGAAGAGAATATTTCCTGCTTATTTGGGTTGTGGCAGAATTCAGTTTCTTAGAGTTGTAGCACTGAGGTCCCCACTTTCTTGCTGGCTTTGTGCTCAGGGATGCTGCTATTTTTCTTGTGAGGATGCCCATACTTCTCGGCTCACAACCGTCTTCCTCCATATTCAAAACCACCAAAAGTGGGTTAATTCTCTTTCTTCTTCCTCCTCATCTCTGTGACCCACATGTTAGACCTGTGACATGCTTGCAATGTCTTGTTCAACATTACTCAGGGGCCCAGGAGAAAAGAGGGCTCTGACGCATTTGTTCTGAATGCTGTGGATCTGAGTGGCCCAGTGTGTGTACCGAGTGTGCCGTCACTGCTTCAGCACAGCACTGGCCTCAGTGCACTTACTGGAGAGAGTGAGACCAGCAGAGAGCTCTTCTTGTCACTGTTGATGTAATATCGTACGCTCAGTTCTTTCTCGTTTCTCCCACGGGGGTAGGAAGTGTGACTTTCTAGGGGAAACAGCAGGTCATTTCACAGAAGAAGTGATTGAGCCCTCTGTCTTCTTCCACATAGGCTCTTTCTCCCTCTTTTTTTGAAAATTGTAGTAACATTCATATGACATAAAATTTACCAATTTAACCACTTTTAAGTCTATAGTTCAGTAAAGTATATTCACACGGTTGTGCGATCAATCTCCAGAACTTCTTTATTTTGCAAAACTGAAACTCTATACCCATTAAACAACAACTCTTCACTCAGCCCCACCTTCAGTCCATGGCAACCACCATTCTACTTTCTGTTTCTATGATTTTGGCTACTCTAGGTATCTCCTGTAAGTGGAATCATATACTATTTATCTTTTTATGACAGGCTTATTTTATTTCACTTAGAATAAAGTCCTCAAGATTTATTGATGTTGTAGTGTGTGTCAGAATTTTCTTTCTTTTTAAGGATGAATAATGTTCCATTGTATGCATATACCACATTGTATTTATCCATTCATCCATCATGGGACATTTGGGTTGCTTCTACCTCTTGGTTATTGTGAATGATGCTGCTACAAACATGGGTGTACAGATATCTCTTTGGGACACAATTAACCACTTTAAAGCATACAGTTCATTGGCATTTTAGCATATGTGCAGTGTTCTGCAACCACCAACTCTCTAGGTTCAAAATTTTTTCAACACCCAGAAAAATAACCTGTACCCATTAAGTAATCACTCCTACTACCCCCATCCCCTGGTAACCACTAATCTTCTTTCCATTTCTGTGAATTTGTCTATTCTGTATTTGTACAGAAAGAATCATAATATGTGACCTTTTAAGTCTGGCTTTTTTCACTTAGCATAATGTTTTTGAGGCTCATCGAAGTTGTAGATGTATCCGTATACTTCGTTCCTTCTCATAGCTGAATAATATTCCATTATATGCATATTGTACCATTTGTTTATCCATTCATTGATTGATGGACATTTGTTTCCACCTTTTGGCTATGATGAATAATGCTGCTGTAAACATTTGTATGCAAGTTCCAATGTGGACATATGTTTTTATTTTTCTCAGGTGTATACCTAACAGTGGAATTGCTGGGTCATATGTTAATTCTATGTTTAACTTTTAGAGGAACCACCAAACTGTTTTCCACAGTGGCTGTACTATTTTGCATTTCCATGAGTAATGTATGAGAGTTCCTATTTCTCCATGTCCAATACTTGTTATACTTTTCTGTTTTCGTAATTAAAGCCATTCCAGTGGGTGTGAAGTAGTATCTCATTGTGGTTTTCATTTGCATTTCCTTAATACCCAATGATGTTGAACATCTTTTCATGTACTTATTGCCTATTTATATATCTTTGGAGAAATGCGTACTAAGTTCTTTGCCCATTTTTTAACTGGGTTTGTCTTTTCATTGTTGAGTTGTAAGAATTCTTTATATATTCTAATAGTTTCAGAGCTTTAGCTCTTATATTTAGATTGATGATTCATTTTGAGTTAATTTTTTGCATATGAAGTAAATTAGGGGTCTAACTTTATTTTTTATATATGGTTACCCAGTTATCCCAGCACCATTTATGGAAGATATTAGTCTTTCCCTCATAGAATGGTCTTGACACCCTTGTTGAAAATCAGCTGGCCATAGATGTTTGGGTTTATTTCTGGACTCTCAAATTCATTCCTTTTGTTTGTATGTCTGTCCTTATGCCAATACCATACTATTTTGATTACTGTAGCTTTGTAGTAAGTTTTAAAATTGGAAAATGTAAGTCCTCCAATTTTATTCTTTTTCAATATTGTTTTGGTTATTCAGGTTCTCTTCAGTTCCATATGAATTTGAGGATTGACTTTGCCATTTCTACAAAAAAAGGCTATTAGAATGGGATCACACTGAATTTATTGATTGCCTTGGAGACTTGCCGTCTTAACAATAATGTCTTCCAATCCATGGACATGGGATGTCTTTCCATTTATTTTGGCGTTCTTTAATATCTTTGAACAGTGTTTTATAATTTTTAGAGTACATGTCTTTCACCTTTTTGACTACATTTATTCATAGATATTTTATTCTTTTGGATGCTATTGTAAATGGAATTGTTTTCTTAATTTCCTTTAGGATTGTTTCTTGCTGGTATATAAAAACATAACTGATTTTTGCATGGTGACCTTGTATTCTGCAACTTTGCTGAATATACTTCTCTGTAGTTATTTTGAGAATTCTATGTGATTGTCTATACAGAGGATCAGGTCATCTGCAAATAGAGATAGTTTTGCTTCTTCCTTTCCAATTTGGATGCTTTTTATTTCTTTTTCATGCCTAATTGTTCTGGGTAAGACCTCCAGTACAGTGTTGAATAGCAGCGATGAAAGCAGTGAATGTGATCAAGTAATACCTTGTCTGGCCAGTAAGGGAATCCAAACCCTTGACCTTGGTGTTATAACACCGTGCTCTAACCAATGTTGTCTTGTTCTTGGTCGTGGGGGGGAAGATTTCAGTCTTTCACCATTTTTATGATGTTAGCTGTGGGTTTTTCTTTTCTTTTTTTTTTTTATTTTTGTCTTTTTTCCGTGTCCGGCAACGGATCGCAACCCTCAGTGTTGCCCCCATACTGGACCGGGGACCGGCAACGGGATTGCAACCCTCGGTGTTGCTCCCGCGCCTCGCTCAGCCAGTGAGCGGGAACCGGTCTGTATGTGGGATCCGAACCCTCGAGCAGGATTGCCACCGCGCTTCCCAAGCGGCGCACTATCCAGTGCGCCACCGGGCTGGCCCAGCTGTGGCTTTTTCTTAAGTGCCTTTTATCATGTTGAAGAATTTGTCTTCTATTCCTATTTGACTAGATGTTTTTATCATGTAAAAAGTTGTTGAATTTTGTCAAATGCTTTGTGTGTGTCTATTGAGATGATTATGTGATTTTTTACCCCCTTCATTCTGTTAATGTGGTGTATTACACAGATTGATTTTCTTATGTTAAATCAGTCTTGTTCTCCTGGGATTAAATACCCCTTGTTCATGGTGTATAATCCTTCTAATGTGCTGTTGGATTTGGTTTGTTGAGAATTTTTATGTCTGTGTTCATAAGGCTTATTGGCCTGAGGTTTTCTTTTCTTGTGGTATCTTTGTCTGCCTTTGATATCAAGGTAGCGCAGGCCTGATACAATGTTTTAGGGAGTATTACTTTCTCATCACTTTTGTGAAAAGTTTGAGTAGGATTGGTCTTAATTTTTCTTTAAATGTTTGGTAGAATTCACCTGTGAAGCCATTCTTCGTTGGGAGGTTTTTGATTACTGATTGTTAACAGTCTGTTGAGATTTTCTTTTTCTTCTTGAGTCACTTTTGATAATTTGTATGTTTCTAGGAATTTGTCCATTTCATCTAGGTATCTAATCTTTTGTCTTACAATTGTTCATTGTATTCTCTTAAAGTCATTTTAATTTTTCTAAGTTCCATGGTAATGCTCCCACTTTTACTTCTTAGGCTAGCTAAAGATTGGTCAATTTTGTTGATCTTTTCAAAGAACTAACTTTTGGTTTCACTGATTCTCTCTATTGCTTTCCTCTTCTCTATTTTGTTTATCTTTGTTCTAAATATTCATAATTTTCTTCCTTTTGCTGGCTTTGGATTTAGTTTGCTCACCTTTCTCTAGTTTCCTAAGGTATAAAGTTAGGTTGTTGATTTGAGATCTTCTTTTTAAGTGTGGACTTTTACAGCTATAAATTTCCCTCTGACAACTGATTTGGCTGTATCCCATAAGTTTTGGTATGTTGTGTCTACATTTTCATTCACCTCAAAGTATTTTCTATCCTTTTCATTTTGGCAGCTGGCCGGTACAGGGATAGAACCCTGGACTGTGGTGTTATCAGCACCATGCTCTAACCAACTGAGCTAACCAGCCAGCCAATTCAAGGTATTTTAATTTCTGTAGTGAATTTTTTTTTTGAGTCATTGGTTTAAGAGTAAGTTGTTTAAGTTCCATTAATTTCCATGTATTTGCTAATTTTCTAGCTTTCCTTCTGTTATTGATTTCTGACTTCATTCTATTATGATTGGAGAAGATTCTTTGCAAGATTTTGATTTTTTTTTAAATTTGAGAAACATTTTATGGCCTAACATATGGTCTCTCCTGGTGAATGATCCACATGCATTTTAAGAAGAATGCATACTCTGCTGTTGTTGGGTACAGTGTTCTGAATGTGTCTGTCAGATCTAGTTGGCATGTAGTGTTGTTTAAGGCCCCGATTTAGTTTAAGAAAAAGCCTCAAGGTCATCGAGAAATCATGTGCTGATGGACTAGACCTTGAATATAGCCCACATAAATCTGAATTTGTGTGTTCTTTTTTGGGGGAATGGGGCTACTATCCAAATTGATATAGTGTCAAGAAAGATTCTTCTACTGCTACTGCTCAATAGAATTTATCTTTTAAAGTGTGTTTACATTTTACATATTGTACAAGTTAACAGAACACAGAAAGCTGGATAGAGGCCTTGGGCCTCTGAAATGGTATTTTAAGTACCATAAAATACCAGGGGTGCTTTGTGCTGCCTTCAGTTTGGAAAAATCATTGTGTGCAGACCTGCCATTATATGAAATGTTATTACAAGCTTAACTGAAAGAAGCAATCCTAGCTAACACATTTGAGGTGAAGAAGCTATGACAGTTTATTTAAAATTTTGCATATTTGCTTCATATCATAACTTCTAAGGCCAGAAAAATTATTAAAATAATTTCAGGAATATGAAATGCAGAAAACAAGAGAGGAAGAATTTCTGAAGCTATTTGATAGATGGAAAAAAGAAGAAAAGGAGAAACTAGTTGATGAAATGGAAAAAGTCAAGGAAATGTTTATGAAGGAATTTAAAGAATTAACTTCCAAGAATTCAGCGTTAGAATATGTAAGTATTAAACATAGAAGTCCTTATGGTATTAGTTGCATTGAAAGGTGGCATTAGGATGGCATTATGGCCAGAGGATCTGGCATTTACTTTACCATGCCTTGATGCCACCTCCCTGAGAGTCTTGGGGGAGCTGAAGGCAAACAGAAGACAGAGCAAGTCAGAGAAGTTGTTTTGTTGAGAATGGGAGCTTTGACCCCAAATCCAAGTACAGAACATTTGTGGGCTGCATTCAGATGGATCATAGAAGAGGTTTCCTCTTTCCTTATCTGGTTAGGTTTAGATAGCTTTAAACCATAAACCTTCCTGAGTTTGGGAACTTTCCACTGTTGTGGCTGGAAAAGCTGATGCAGATCACCAATGTGGGAGAAGGAAGCCAACCCAGAAAGACAGAGGGAGAACTTTTGCCAGGCCCCTTCCTCATCCTAGGCCTGACCAGTGAGGAGCACAGGTTCTCTAAAGCAAGCAGGATATGGCTACATGAGCGCCTGTCCCCTGTGGGAACAGCCTGGTCCATCCTGCTCTGGTCACAAGCATGGATGACAGACAGAGACACTCTTTGCTGGGCTGCAAACCTTCATCTTCCCTGAGCATCTTCCTCAGAAAGTGGGCGATCAGTGTCCTCCTGCTAAGAATTCTGAGTTCACCAGGCAGTTTGATCTGAGACATTCTTGGGGGAAAGGAAGGAAGGGAGCTGAGGAAAGATCATTTAGCTCCCTCTAGGGGCCAACAAGTTTTATAAATGAAAATAGAAGGATATTTTTGCTCAGGTCTTTCTCTAAAACTCTTTAAACTTTAGCACTGGGGTTGGCAAACTATGGCCCATGGACCAAATCCGGCATACCACCTGTTTTTGCATGGCCTGCAAGCTAAGAATGGTTTTCATGTTTTTAAATGGTTGAAAAGAAATCAAAAGACTATTTCATGACATATGAAAATTACATGAAATTTACTGAAGTGAACTTATCGGTGCTTTACTTTATTGGAACACAACCGTGCTTGTTCATTTACCCTATGGTAAATTTGCCCGTGGTGCTTTTGTACTGGAGCGGTAGAGTTGAATGTTTCCACTGAGAGCTTGTGTGTCTCGAAAAGTTGAAAATGTTTACCGTCTGGCTCATTACAGAAGAGGTTTGTCTGGGAGGACAGTCATTTAAAACATGACTACACACTTACCAATTTTATTCTCTTTTTCAGTCTTATAAAAGTATGACATTTGTACTAGTGATTTTGAGTTTTATTTTATAGCAATTATCAGAAATCCAGAAGTCCAACATGCAGGTTAAGTCTAACATAGGCACGTTAAAAGATGCACATGAGTATAAAGAAGACCGTCCTCCATATCCCCAGGATTTCCAGAATATGATGCAACTTCTTGACAGTCAGGTATGTCAAAGTGGGTGACAACTGCAGTAGATGTCTTAATTTTTCTTAGTAAATTACAGGAAGCATCATCTACAGAAAAAGTGTTTCTTTCAGTGACCGTGAAGGTGATTAGATCTTTTTTACTTATCTCCTAAAACATGCCTAATTCATAATAGGTGTTTATTAAATGCTTATTGTTGACTAATACATGTGAATTCAAAACAGTTGGCAAAATTGTTTCTTTTTTCATCTAACATTAATGTCAATTTGCATTGGTTATTATTACCTTAGTATTCATTGTTTCATATTTCAGATGTAGATCTTACTTTAAAAAAGGCATAGAAAGGCACATTGAAGCACCACATTTATTTTTAGGGCTTAAATATACTACTACATTGATGAACTGATGATCTTTTACATTTATCAAATGTAATTATAATCATTTGGAAGTGAACGTTTGCAATCAGAATGATCTTCATCCTGGCTGTTTTGGTCAGAACGGTTTAGGGGAACAATTATTTATTTAATTTTATTTTTTACTAGGAAGAAAATAGAGATTAGAGCTTATGAATTCAGGTTTTTTTTTTTAAAAAAAAAAAATAAGGCTGTGTCATTAAAAAAAGTGTTTTTGAAAGATGGACCACTGCTTCTTGCTCAGTGCTCACATCTTGCCTCCTCCCCCAAATCTACCTTCCCCATGGCAGCCAGGCTGACCACTGTCATGTCTAAAATCCTTCAGTGACCCCCCCATTTTTCACAGAAAGTCCTTAACCAGGACACAAGGTCCTTCGGAGTCTGGACCTGTGCCATCTCCCACCGTTCTTTGCCTTACCCCAACAGCTCGTGCTTCTCAGAACACGCATTCTGTTTTTGGCCTTTGTTCCTGCTGCTTTCTTGCCTGTCAGTCACCTCCCAGTTTTCAGGATCTGTCACTTACTACTTTTCCAGTGTTCAGCTAGGGCGGTGCCTCTTCCAGAGAGTTCTCCTGAACCTAACCTCTGGGTTAGAGCATCTCTGTGGAAGTTCGCCATCATTGTGCCCCACTTTCCTCCTGTACAGAGCAGGGCCTGTCTCTTAATCTTCCTGACCTGCGAGTGGCTGCCCAGCAAGGTGCTTGGTACATGGTAGGGAACCAGGAACTGTGTCCTGCACTGAACTGTTGACAGTTGCTTCCGGCAACCTGAAGACCCCCATTTGTCTCTCAGGAACTGAGGGACATGGTTATGAAATCCTAAGGTCCCACTTAAGTGTCTTCTGTTTCCTTCCTGTGAGCTGTGTTGTCAATTCAAAACTCATGGACTCTGAAACCTTGGTGTTTCGTTTTAAACCCATTAGCTTGGCAAGCCGGCACCTATTTTTGTAAATAAAATTTTATTGGAACACAGCCACACCCATTCATTTACATATTGTCTATGGCTGTTCCCCCACTACTGATAGTTGTAACCGAGTCGTCTGGTACCCAGAGCCTAAAGTATTTGCTATTGGCCCCTTCCTAACAAATGTTTGCTGACCCCTGTCTTACAGTATAAGATTAAAGCCAGGTACAATTGTGTTTAAACATTTTTGACTATGTATACAGTAAAAAATACCAGCTAAAATTTTATCAGATAGATAGTTAGGTTTCATAGGTACCCACTGAAAAGGAAGCTTCTGTTTTGAGTAGATTTCATTGTTCCAGTTGCACGTAAATGACTCTTGTTTGACTCTTTTGCAGGAAAGCAAGTGGACGGCTCGAGTTCAAGCTCTTCATCAAGAACACAAGAAAGAGAAGGATCGGGTAAGATTAAGAAACCAGTGGCCTATAAGTGGGTCATTTTTTAAAAGAATATTTGCTTGTCTTTATAGTAAAGGTAGTATTTGTCCAGTTAATAACATTCACAGAGAAAAATGTAACAAAATTAAAATTACTTATAATTCCATTGCCAAAGATAACCACTGCTATTACTTTGTTATTTCTTTCAGTCTTCTTTTTATGCTGTGAATGTTGCATTTCTTTAAGTGTAGAACCCCATATATATGTAGTCTTATGAAATTTGAATTATGCTTTATATCTGTAACTTTATACAGTTTTCACTTAACATATCATAGACATTTTCCTATGTTTTAAAATAATCTTCAAAATCATTATATTTAATGGCTACACAATGATCTATAGATGTATCATAAGTAATTTAATTATTTCTTCATTGACCAATACATGTTTCTGATTTTTCAAATTATAGAGTTGCAGTGTAAATAATTTTTAAATAAAGGCAAGGACTATTAACATTAAAATCACTATAATGAAGACAAAATTTAATTATGCCACTTATTCCCTTTCACCTGAGCACATCAAAAATTTAAGTGTTCAAATGCAAAACAACTAAAGTAGATGTATTTGAGAATTTCTTAAGATAGGAGAACTTCTGTTTATTTTTTTCACTTGAAATTTATTCTGTACCCTTTGGATCCTTTATAAATCTTTTCTAGATGGAGAAAGATTTTTTTTGGCACATTTCCTAAAATGGCCTTTCCTATAGTACCAACCAGAGTGTTAGATGCATAAGAGCTCGGAGGAAGAATGTTCAGATGACCACAAGATTATCACCTTGTATTCCTCCTAAGTAGGACAAATACCGAGGGAGGAAAAAATAAGAGAGAAACTGTGAACAGTACTAGAGCCAAACTAAAGCAAAGCAAACAAAAAATAAAAAACAAAAACACCCTACAAAACACCTGCAGTTCTTGAGGAACCAGATATTAACCTAATTTTGAAATTGTGTTATTGCTAGAAAAGAAAATAGGAACCACAACTTTTCCTCTATTCCATTTGTAATATCATTTAGTTATGTAAATAATTTGTAGAGTTTATTCATACACACATGAATGCACAAATACGAGAGTACTTCAAAAAGTCTGTGGAAAAATAGAATTAAAAGGTAATATGAATCTTTCCATGAACTTTTTGAAGTACCCTCATTCATGTACATACACTCACTCAAAGTAGTTTATGTAGACTGAAAATTCTGTCACCAATGCGGGATTCAATTCAGGAGACATTTATTGAGCATCTACTATGTACTACACATCATAAGGGCTAAAAAGTGATATGAAACAATCCCTGCCCTTAGGTTGCTTGAGTACAGAAAGAAAGTCGAAGTGAGGATACAGACAACTGATGGGCATTAGGATGAGATAAACTGAGTGCCCTAGGGGTGGAACAGAGAGTTTGTTAATGGCCATGTTTATTTGTCAAACCTAAACCACCCTTCTGAGCTCCAGATCAGGGAGCCAGCTTTATTCTTGACATCACCATGGGCTTCTCAAATGTAATGTGTCTAAAATGAAGTTGTTGGGTTTGTTCCCAGATATGGTGAATGGCACCCTAGTCCACCCAGGTGCACATTTTGATTCCATCTCTCTCCCTTAATCCCCAGTACCAGGCCATCAGCAGGTCCTTCCCTATATCTCACATCCCTATTCTTCTGAACATTTCCATTGCCTCTACTCTTAACCGAGCCTCCATCATTTAAAATGACATGCATTTATTATTGTACTGTCCATGGGATAGAATCCAGGCATGGCTTGGCTGGGCTCAGGGACTCAAAAGCTGCATTCAGTGGGTCAGTGGTCTGTGTTCTCATCTGGAAATCCTCATGTTAACCATAAGGTTGAGACCCTCACCTCCCAAAGGCAACCTGTTCGCCACAGCAGTTTGCAACATGGCTATTGACCTCTTCAAGGCCAGCTGGAGAGTGTCTCTCCTGCTTTCATTGTCCCCCTTCAGGAAATGCCTGGAACTTCTTTTAAAGGATTTACCCGAATAAGACAGGCCCACACAGGATAATCAAGTCCCTTCACCTTTGCCATATTTTGTTGGCTACAAGCACATCATGGGTTCCACCCAACCCAAGGGACAGGGTGGATTACACAGGCCGTGTTCCCTAGGGGTGCACCCTTGAAGGCCATCTTAGAATTCTGCCTACCACACCCTCCTCTGGCCTGATGTACAGGTCACCTGATGTCACTCCATCTAAGTAGGTAGTCCTTTCCCCTTTGTTATTCTCATCACTTCCTAAATGTAGCTCTGACCACTATTTTAAATAGTTTGTTTGTTTAGTTGTTTACTTGTTTATTGTCTGTCTCTCCAACCATATCATTAGCCATCTGAGTGAAGGGTTCTGTCTATTTAGCCCCCCCTTTGTCTTCCCAGCAACCACTGATGTGCCTAAAATGTGGTTGGCACTTGTCAAATACTTGCCGAGTGAAGGTGGAAAGCAGCTAGACGTCCAACAGGGGGATCGTTCAGCCATGTTTTTATAGATACAGAAATGCCAGCGTAGGGTTCAGAAGAGTAGGGTTAAAAGAGTTATGTGTAGGTGTAAGCACCTTCTGCCATAAGGAGGACACCTGTCTAGGTTTTTGTCATGGACCAGGGAGCCGGCGCTCAGGGCAATGCCCAGGTAGTTAGCATGATGGTGTTCACCTCCCAGCATGTTGTTCGTATGGCAGCCAAGAAGCAGGATCCCCAGGAGCAGGGGATGGTAGTTTTTCTGCACCATAGGTGATCCATTGTGCAAGGAGTGTTCTCTGTCATCCATCTGTGCTGCAGGGGAGTAAAAGTGGCCCATTATTTCAGTTAATGGGTATGCTGGAGCTGGTCTGTATCGGCTTGCAAGTATGTGCTTTTCTCAGTTCAGGCTTTTTTCCCCCTTTTTCTTTTTGTTTTTGTTTTTGAGAGCTGATTAACTATCACACCACTGGATTCATGGGAGCATTTAGAAATAAAGTGATATTTGTAGTTATCATATATTTAATCCTTCTAAGAATTCTGTGAGGCAGGTCCCACTTACCCATTTTACAGATGAGGGAATCGAGTCTTCGATGCTGTCTTACCCAGGGTTGCTGTTATTGAATCCAGGCCAGCTCCGCCCCGGGGCCTGTGCTGGTCTGCCACACTGTCTGGCTTCCTGTCATGCTTTGGGGACTTGGCCAGCAGGGGAGAAGAACAGGCAGTAACAGTTTAGAGTGGTTGCTTTCCTGTAAGGACGAAGGATCTTTCCTTCCAGGTGATCTGAGGTAGTGGTTCTTATCCAGGGATGCTCTTCGCAGTTACCCAAAACTCCTTTCCAGTGTACACATATCCAGCTCTGTTTCCTGAGATTCTGATTCAGTGGGGAAGACTGGGACGTGTAGTTTGGAAAAAAACAAAACAAAAACAACCCAGGGTATTCTGTTTTAGATCCATGGTTTAAACCACTACTCTTAGGTAATTTTAAGTTCCTACTCTTGTTTTCAAGGATCTGCATGGCACTGGTATTTAGCAATGCAATTCAGGTTCCCTTATGAAGAGGGGGTGACTTTTTAATCCTTGCTCCTTTAGAGCCTGCTGTGTTTCAGGCAGTTGTGGGAATTTCAGTGACCTTCTGGCTGGAACAGAATGTGAGGTGCGGTTTTTACACTTTGTCACTGCAAGTTGTGATAAGAGAGACCTACTGCTGGCGGTGGGGGAGGGGTGGGGGTTCAGGGTGGGAGAGGACGGCTCTCCCTGGTTCTGAGTGAAGCTCGCCACCCCGGGTGCTGGGAGGGAGGGTGTTCTGTGCTGCCACTAGGCTGTGCTGCTGCCTTGTCTGTTGGTTTGGCTTGTTTAGAGGCTGCTCACTTCTCCCTTCTTTCTCTTAAACCCTAACAGAGGGTTGAATTCAATCAGGCTTAGTAATCTCTGCCTAAGACCTAACTATTAATTATTCCACATGATTGGTACCTACCGTTCCCACAATGCACATATTGTATTTCTTTGTTTAGGGGAAGTTGCATTTGCCAACTTTTTATTGCTTTACCTGGATTCTTGGCTGTCTTTTTTTTTTTTTTTTTTTTTCTAAATAACATTGGTAGTAGTTCAAAGGGAGTCACAGATAAGCGATGGCATCTACTCTTGACCCAACAGAGGACTCCTGAGAGCTTGGGAGATTGTAGAATGGTCATGTAATGAAAGGAAAGGAGGAAGGGGTGATGTGGGCTGGTAGAGAAAAAAGCATAGAACTCGATATGGTAGTTCACAAAAAGTGGGCTCATGGGCTGCAAGCTTTTTGGAATAATTTCTGGCTATCTCTTGCTTAGACTCTCCACATTCCTCCCCCACTGAACTCTTTTCTGAACCTTTCTGATCCGTTCTTACTTCCAGTATCAGAATGATGTCATCCCTTAGTGTTTCCTGTGTCCTCTTTCTTCTTGAGCCTGGAACAATTCCCCATATTGTTGGTCAGGCCCAAGATCCTAAACCTCCATGCAGAACCCCAGACATTTTTACTGGCTTTTCCTTTTATGTTTTAGCTTAGTGTTTCCCAGACTGCATTTAGGGTCACTCTTTTGGGGGTCTGTAAAAATGCAGTGAAAGGTCTTGACAATGTCCTTCTTGGGGGAGATTCTTAGTATGCACTAGGGTATGAAAGGTTATTTTTTAGGCTTCACTCAGAAAATCTTTCTATCTTGGTTAAACCTAGCATTTGTCCAGCATCATAGGAGCACAGGGCACTTCAGAGGCAAGACCATGCCATTTGTTGACTAAGCAAGTTGGTTTTGAAGCCAGATGTGCAAGTTCTAGTCTGGGCTGTGCCCCTCCAGCTGTCTGAATTTGGGCCAGTTACTTTACCTCTCTAGACTTGAGTTTCCCCATCTGTACAAAGGGGAAGTGTGGCTTAAACAAGATGAAGTGCTTGACACAGCATCTAGCACGTAGTGAGTGCTGATTTTTAAAAAAAGAAAAAAAAGCAAATTAGGAAATGCTGATCCAGATGCTCTTGTAGACTCTGACACAGTTGCTTCTGCCCCTTTATTTGATGAGCACATCCCGTCTTCACTTCCAGGCCTTAGACTTGGAATGTCCTTAGCCCAATTGCCAAGCTTTATTTTTTATCCCCTGTGTTTAAGCAACTACTGAAATTGCTTTGAGAGGCATTCTCTAAATTATTGAAAACAAATTCTTCTTGAATTTTTTTTTGTCCAGAGCTTCCCTGACATTCTCTAGAGATAAATCTGTCTGTGCATCGTTGGATCTCTGTCCTCTACACTTCATCCCTTCCTCCTTCCTCCTGCTTTTCCTTTGTCTCCCAATACCCCCACCCCCCTTTCATTAAGAACCTGCTAAGAACCAATGATTATGCTAGTTTCTAGGAATATAAAAATAATTTATATGCACTCTCTGGCCCAGGGATGGCACATGCAGATGTGCAAAGGACAGGGCTGTGTGGGAAGTTTGGTGTGGAGGCGTGGGCATGGCCCTGGGAGACCAGGGTCAGAGCTGCTCTGTGGGAGAAGTCTTAATCCTCTGCTGCTCATTCGTATGCTACTTCTATAATGTGCATAGGTCGGCTCAGCTGCTCACATTATCAGTGTTGTCTGTCTTGGGTCATGAGCCGCCTGGGAATAGAGATGAAGCACCATGCACAGCCAGGGCCTTGGTACAGTGATTGAGGATTTATTCAGTGACTTGCTGTGCACGAATAGCATAAGGCCAGCAAAGAAGGCAGGCATGTGCATACAATTCTCAGAATGAAGACATTTTACATGCAGCTTGCAGATGGATGCCTTTCTTTCTTTTTTCAGCTCCTGTCACATATAGAGAAACTTCGAACCTCAGTGATAGATAATCTAAGTACAAGTAATGTTTTCTACCAGAAAAGTATAGAAGAGCTAGGGCAGAAACTCCAGGAGCAGAATGAGCTGATTATTACTCAGAGACAGCAGGTATGTCTAGTGATAGTTTGGCACCGTGCTTCTTTAAACAATGCTATTCCTCTAAGAACATGTGTTTTTAGTTTAGAGTGTTTAGTTTACTTTATAGCATTCACACATTGTATACAGTAAAGAAAATGGAATATATTTCCCCTTGTGATTTCTTATAAAAATAAAATAAATGTTTTAAAAAGACGTTTAAAAATACCATAGAACAGATTTATTCAGTTTGAATTCAGAATAAATTTGAAGGTAAATGATCATTTCTTTCAGTAATTACTTTGAGAAGCAGCCAAATCCAAATGCTACTTTTATAAAACTTTTGCCTTTGTGCTGTTAAAGTCTATGTGCCCTGTGTCTTTGGTCAATTTAGTGAAAAGGTTAATTTACCAATGACAATATCTGTTCGTTTTTCAATATATCCCTATCTAGTTTCAAACATGTATTGCTAAAAGACTTTTCTTTGCAGATTAAAGAGTTCACCAGTAAACCATTAAACAGTGTCAGTGAACCCAGAGGTAAGTGGACAGGGTCCTGGCGCTGGAGGCAAGGTGGGCCTCCCTAACTGCACTGGGCTTCAGAGGAATGTGGGCCCTGTTAGTTTATGTGTGCTAAGATGGCATTCTTCTTGTTAGTTTAATTTGGCAGATCTGTTACCACAACCCAGAAAGAAAGAAGAATTAAAAAAATCTAAACTATCATTCAGTTGTTTCATTTTTTAAAAAAATCAGAATTCTGTTCTGCACATAGTACCTGCTCAGTAACCATTTACTTCTTGATTCATATACTGTAGGACAGAGTTATGATTAAAACACAAGGTCTGGAGACAGACTGGGTTCAACTCCCATCTCTGGCACTTTGTAGCTTTCTGAATCTCTGCCTCAGTTTCTTCAGCTCTAAAGTAGGAATATTAATAGTAACTACATCATAATAACCTTGTTATAAGGATTAAATGGGATAACACATGTAAGGTACACCTGCTAAGCACTCGTTAGTGTTAGCTATTATTATTGATATTAAACTCTTAATTATTCTAAAGTACTACGAAGGCTTGCTGCGTTATTCTCAATTGTGGTAGTTTGGGGGTTAAAGGTTTGTTTTAAGCATAGTAGGAGCACACACAACCTATTGACTATAGCAATGGTAGCTGCCCGTCTCTGTATCATTCAAGAGCTAGACCAGAAGCCACACTGTGAGACTCTGCAGAAGGTACACTGGGAACCACAGGCTCAGGTCTCAGAGTGAAGCCTAAGAGCTTGCCTTCTGCCTGTTCTCCTTCTGGGTGATCCCAGTTTTGGTTCCTGCACATCTCAGGCTGTTAAGGAATCTTTGTTTCCTTGAGGGATGCCAACTGGGGATTGGTACTGGAGTCTATGAGCTAGGTTTTTTTCCCCTCTTGTTTTGAGATTAAGGATTGGGGAAAGAAAGGGTTGTCGTTCCCTTTAATCTCTTTGAATAGCAAGAGTTCAGGTAGTGAGGGATACCTGTATAATTACTTAGATGTCATAAATACTTGACTGAAAAGTAATTCTAGGAAAAATTTAGCTTTAAAAGGATTTGTGTTAAATATCTTTATTCTATTGAGTGAGGTGCTATATATTGGGAAATTTCATTTGTTGTTTCTATGGGAAGGAAAAATTAGGATAAGGTCTACCAAAATTTAGTCCATACCTTGTGATTTTTGTTATTAACTCTTTTCCTTCTTGTCATTTAGGTAATCCTTCAATCTGGCAAACTTTTGAATCTAAGCCAACTGCCCCAGCTGTGCCTAGTAAGTTTCTATAATGGGCTCTCTAAAGGTATCTTTAAAATGCTAAACCCAAACATAACTTTTACATGTTTATTATTTTTAGAGACTTTTCTTTGAAAACCTATGTGTTCGGAGATTAAGTAATGATTTATTTTGGTTTTGGCCTAGATCTAAAACTCAGTATTGTAAATATTCTCATGATTTTGTAGTTTTTTTGGTTAGCCATACCTATTAGTTTGCAATTTGTCAAGTAAAGAGACAACTAAAAATTGTTTGGCATCACTGCACTTTATACTTTGGCATCACTGCAGTTTATAGTTTTGGATTTCCCACAGTGATACACTGTGTGGCTATGTGACTGTGTGTGGTGCCACCACATTTTGGCACGGCTAGGACTCTCACCGCTGCAGGCTTTGAATAGGTGTTCTGTCTGTCCTCACCTGCAGTCAGCTCGGCTGCCTAGTCTATCTCCCAGAGCTGTCAAGGTTCAGCAGTAAACCAAAAAGACATAATCTTTACACTTTAGAAACTAACAGATCTTTTTTGAAATAACAGTTAAATACTGTAGTAGAAATATTTTTATTTCCATTCAGGAAAGAGTAAGGGAGAGGAAAAGAACTGTGGGTGGAAGAAGGAAGAAGCAGGCGAAGGTGGGTGAGAGAGAGTGGTTAGACGTGCTGGGTGCATAGGGATCGGATGCACCAGAGGAACCTGGACTGAGGCTGAGCACTCAGAGACAGCACCACTCAGACAGGCCCAGGAATCAGGAGAGGACTGTGTAGTGACCAAACGTTAATGAGGGTGTTTTGGAATTTGGCACAGTTGACTGGAAAATGCTAATGGTTGAGCTGCTTAGTCTTCTCAGGTGCTTCTTGAGGCCTCTTGATGTTGCTTCCAGAAGCCGAAGAGGTTGGGTGGTGATGGGGAAGGGAGGAGGGGGTTTAAGTGCTAAGAGTAGAGCTGAGGGGAGAGGAGAAGCTGGACTGATACCTCATGAAATTAAAAAAACATTTCAGAGAAGATGGAGAGGGTAAAAGACTAAATTATTTAAACAAACAAAAAAAGTACTAAAGATATATTTAGTTAGAGCAGATTTCTCCAAATTGGGTGTCCAGACTCTCTGGGGTTATGCAAAATTATCTACTGGGATATGGGAAAGAATTATTAGAACTGCTTTTTAGATATTAAAAAAATCATTCTTTTAATTTTTCAAATAATTTTTGTTTTAAAATGTACATAATATTGGGCCGGCCCGTGGCTCACTCGGGAGAGTGTGGTGCTGATAACACCAAGGCCACAGGTTCAGATCACATATAGGGATGGCCGGTTGCTCACTGGGTGAGCGTGGTGCTGACAACACCAAGTCAAGGGTTAAGATCCCCTTACCGGTCATCTTTTTAAAAAAGAAAAAAAGAAAAAAAAAATGTACATAATATTTGTATTATAGTATATGTAAAGTTTATTTAAATAAATATGTGTATATCAGGGGGTAACTTTTACTGATCGGGGTATATGGTCAAAAAAGTTTGGAAGCCACTGGGCTCTAGAATATTTCAGAAAAGAAATAGGCCCACAGCCCCACATATAGAGGTCCTTTCACAAGTGAGGCCTTTGTGTTTCACGATGAGTAGACAAAGGAGGGTGACTGGCTGGGTCCCCAGTTTTTCTACCAGCATGGACAAGGATCTAAAAGCCAAAGGTCTAATGATGGCAGGGAAGTTCTCATCACTTAAAAGGAAACACACACATGCTAAAGGCAGCTTAGGAGATATACAATAAGTAAATCAGACCCATAGCCAGCAAAAGGAGGCATTTCTAATGTCTAATTTAAGGCAGATGTCATCAGACCTGTTGACCCTACCAGCCCTTGGTGATTTAGACACTAGTTGGTTGTTTCAGACCTGATTTACTATCCTTCCATAAGAAGTGCATGGATTCTATAGTTTAGGGAGAAAACCTGGATGCACACAATTTTACCAAGATCAGGTCTTTTGATTCTATAAGCTAGAATAATATCTAGATCAGGAATAGTGAATATTCCGGGTTTTTTCTTTTCCCCTGTAAAGGGCTAGATAGTGACTATTTTAGGCTTCATGGATTAGGTGGTCTCTTTTGCAGCTGTTCAACTCTGCTGTCACAGTGCAAAATCAGCCATAGACAATACTTAAGTGAATGAGCTTGGTTGTGTTCCAAGAAAACTTTATTTACAGAATACAGGCAGTGCTCTGGATATGTTACATGGGCTGTAGTTTGCCAAACCCTGATATAGGTTATGCAAGTTGCAAATGGTTTTGAAGGCCCTATTTCTAGAGTTGTTAGCAATTTATGAATAGTTAGGAGTTGACAAAAAATGTATGCCCGTGGAGGTAGCTGAGGTTTGTGGCCAGTATTTTTTAGGGTGGGATTAGAATTAAAGATTTAGGAGGAAAATGGCGACGGGTCTGGAGCACCCGTGTCAGGAAACAGCACGATCCTGAGAGCTGTGT